AAAATTAGGATTGAAAGGGAAATAAAAAGTAACTATCAGGAATATGTTTGACTTATTGATTAACCCAGGCAATATGTATAATGGCTATGATCTACTAAAAGGGGATATTTTATTATTAACAAGAAAATTTAGTATGGTAGGAAATAGAAAATCTTTAGGAAATAGAACAAGATTACATTTAAAACGTGTATTTTGGATATTATAGTTTCTTATGAAGTGAGATAGGGGAAACCTTGGTTACCTAGAGCTTGAAAATCATGGATTTTAAAGGTTGATTGGAATATTGGTGAGAATTTAAAAATTAAGTAAAAATTAATAACAGGACATGATACCCAGATTAATTAAAATACATATAAGCTAAAAATGTATTGATAAATGTAACAATGATGTTTTTATTGAGTTGATTTAATCAGAAATGTACTAACTTGATTAAGAGAAAAAGAGAAGAAATATTTGATGATGTAACCTGAGATCGGTACTAAACTTTATGTTATTGAATTATTGTTTAACCCTGCCACCACGTTGCTTTTCAAATACTTAAATGTAAAAAACTAATAAAATATTATTTTTAAGAAGTGCTCTTGTTAGTGTATACAATATATAAAACTTTTGGATTTCAGGCCAGGAATCAAGGGTTCAATCTAGAAAACACTGTCTGAATTATCATCTACTTTCCATATTTTATCATCACCTTTTTTTCTTCTATTGGTATTATTGTAATTCCTTGAATTGGTGTAAGCTACCCAGAGTTCTTAAGAGTTTAAATATGCAAGTTTAATAAATTATGATTAGCAAATTAGGCATTGCCCAATGTCGGGAAATAGGTTTTCTATTTTATTTGACACTGTGACAAATTTCATATTTTGCATTAAACCATAATATGCTGTGTTTGCTTTGAGCCTATTGTAGAATCCTAGTCACTTTATTGGTAAACCATGGTTTGGGGAAATAAAGGATTATATGAGCCAATCCAGATTTTCTGTCAGTTGTAGTCAAGCAAACAGAATGGGTGTAATCTGTGAACTGAGTTTGTGAATATGCTTGTAATGTCTTGTCTTTGCAGAATGGCATAAAATGGATTAGTGACCATCCATGAGTAGGAAAACTAAAGCTTCTGAAAAATTGGTATGGGCAAACAAGCTGCAGGTCTGTTCATGAATGTGCTGCTGTTCATGGTTTAGAAAAGTCCTTCCCTGGCTGTTCTCGAACGTGCAGCTACTTCAACACTGTCAGATTACCTCTACGTCCAGGATGATGCTAGCCAAGCTTTTTTTCTGCCTTCAGAAGTTGTGGGGGTTCCATCATTGGAGTTTTAAAAGAAGAGATTGGACAGCCATTTGTCTGAAAAGGTACAGGGTCTCCTGCTAGAGCAGGAGGCTGACTAGAAGGTCCCCTCCAGTTCTGTTGTTCTGTTATTCTGTTTTTTGTCCAGAGACTGTACATAGTCCTAAGGCTACCTTGCAGTTCCAGTCTCCTGACATCCTCACCTTGAGGGAAGCTTGGCAAAGTTACCTGCTTGAGTTATTTGAGAACCATGTTTTCTCCATGAGAACAACTATCTCAGCAGCTGAGCAACTGTAACTATCTCAGCCATAACATTTACCTGAGCATGTGTCTTCAAAGAGGGATGAAGATCTGCTAATGTATTTCCATCTCATAATGAAATGAATGACCTAGGCCAGTGATGGCGAACCTTTTAAAGACCGAGTGCCCAAACTGCAACCCATAACCCACTTATGTATCAGTGGGTGCCGGGTGGGCGTGGCCCATTGGGTGGGTGTGGCCCATTGAGTGGGTGTGGCCCATTGGGTGGGCGTGGCCACGGTGGAAATGGCAGACTAGGTGGGACTAAAAAGTTCAATCAATCAATTCCAACTTTGTGAGATCTTTTTTTTCCCCACAAGAATTGAAACTGATTGATTGACTGAACCTTTTTTTTCTTTGCACACGGTGGCAGAGGCCTAAAGCGAAAAGGTTTCATAAAATCCAGCTGAAGGCCTAGGACTGGGGTGACAGCGTGCATGCCCACAGAGAGGGCTCTGCATGTCACCTGTGGCACGCGTGCCATAAGTTCACCACCATGGACCTAAGCTTAAATGTCCTGAAGCCCACATTTTCTTTTTATGAAAAAAAGTGTATTAAATAATTATTTGAAAGCTTTTTGAAAGAAATGTAGTAGAATGTTAGAAAAATAACCTGTATTAAGAGCGCTTGGATGAGATAGTTTGATGGAGAGGAAAGATGAAGGAGAGCTGTAGGATTGCAGCTTCCACGAAAGATGGAGATTGTGCAACCTGAGTTTTAAACCTGCCTGAAATATGTTTTGACAACAGCTTAGGTTCCATTGTGAGAAGAAAAAAAAATAGTGGCTTTTCTCTAGTATCTTGTTTAGTAGGAAAAGAGGCAATTCAGTGTAACTCCTACATTTGTTCTATTCTGGTGCAATGCTGTGCCTTACACTGCATTTCAGTTGATGTGTCAAGAAAGATCTGCCTTTGATGTTTGCTTTCTATTTGTCATATCTTGATCTACTTATCTTTATTTTTAATTCCTAAAATTGCTTACATAACCAGTGGCAACTGCATCCTGCCTAGAGGCTTGCAAATTGTGTAGCCTTTTACTTAGTTTCTTTGTGTAGCCTTTTATTTAGTTTCTTTCTTATGCACATAATTTCAACTTAAAAAAATATAATCTTGTAATAAAAATACTATTGCATATATACAATATCCAGTGTATTCTCCTGGCTTGATTATATTATTGTGCTACTGATTATTTGTGAATAAGGTAAGACCTTTTTGTTATTATAAATAATTATTCTTTCGTTATGGTATCATAAAAGTGGAATATTCGATTTCTTTCAGATATTTTGTATTAGCAGAACTGCATGCAAGTAAGAGTAAATTTAATGGTCCAACTCTCTTTTTTTATCTTAAAGCAGCTTTGCATCATCATGACACAAGCACTGTCCCTTTGCAAAATTGCACGTGAGTAGAATATTAGTAATGACTCTTCTACATTGCAAGATACGTATTATTGTAACAAGTAATATAACAGAAAATTGAACCTGTGGGCTCTTTCACTGACATGATCCATACTCCCATCATTTTCATAATATTGTAAAAAGGTAGAACTCATACCAAATGTTAATAACCGGGTTCTTCCCTTTACCCACAAATGTGAATTTTTTTCAGAAACTGCTCCATTTGTGGTTATTCGAAGAGCAAGTGTTTTCATTCAGAAATATTGTGAGATGTGTTTGTGAGGAGTGCATTCTCCAAACTACACTGTGTTAAAGTGGATCTTGTCACATTCACCTTAAATGATGTTCAGGTACTCAGTTGCTTCTGCTTTTTACTTATCTGGATGATTTGCAAGGAATTGTGGTGTTTTTATGATGGATAAATAGATGGGAAGCTAAACATGATTTTTCCCCCTCATTATTTTGGTAGAAATTTATTCACTATATAGTACTGACATTAGCCACCCAGATTGGTTCACACATTCACAGAATTTGAACTACTTTTTTTCTTGAAAAATATGCTTGTTTTGGCAGAAGAGACAGATTCTCCCCAGAGATTGTGCTCTTTGGGAGATCTAAAAACAAAACCCCACAATATCACATTTCCTCCTGACTAATTTATATCTCTCTCAAGTATGTATAAGCTTGATATTAAAAAATTGGCTATAGTCAAATAATATATTTTTCAAAGAAGGCTTTCCCGCTAGCCTCTTCCCTACATTTTGAAGTATTTAGATTTAAAAGGGAAAGACAGTCTTGTTCATTCTTTTACTTAAAACATATTTTGAGAATTTAAAATTACATGAAGACAGCATATCAAATGAAGTAAATTTCATTTAGAGTTACACGCACAACACACACTTAGACAGTTTTTCCTCTGGTGAGAGTAAACCAGAGAGCTATCTTTTTTTTTTTTTACAGTAGCCTTTTACTTCAGAGAGGCTTTTTCTCTCAGTAAACAGCTATCAGCACAGGCACCTCATTATTATTAAGTTATTCCTTAAAAAGTCAATTGAGCAAGGAACAACTGAAATAGCAACAATCTTTTGTAACTTATTTTCCATTCCTATGTGGGTGTGTATATGTCTCCTTTTGGCTATAATATATATATATATATATATATATATATATATATATATATATATATATATATATATATATGTAGGTCTTTGGTTGTTCGGGTTTTCTCCCGCGTAAAATTGGAAGTGTCTTGGCGACATTTCGACGAAGTCCCATTCGTCATCTTCAGGCTGGTGTTTTCAGCTTCGTGCTTCTAGGAGCAATGTGTGATCGAGGCTGTTTCTTCCTTTTAACTACCAGTGGGGGTATGAACTGATTGGATGAGAGCTTGGCTGTGTTCTGATTGGATGGAGGTGTGTTCTGATTGGTTAGGAGCTTGGCTGTGCTCTGATTGGATTGGGGGTTGGCTGTGCTCTGATTGGTTGGGGGGGTGTTCTCTTTGGGTGGGGGCTTTGTTGTGCTCAGGCTAGTCTGAGTTGCATGGGAATGTGAGATGGTGAGCTGAATTGCTATTGTTTGGCTTTGCGTTCGTGGTTGTGCCTTACTTCCAATTTGACGCGGGAGAAAACCCGAGTAACCAAAGACCTACATACAAATACCCACGAAAACCTCAGAAAACAAATATATATTTGAAGAAATGAATGAAGAAAAATAGAAATGAATGAAGAAAAATAGAAAGTACAGAAAAGGAAAGAAATATTGAAAAAGAAAAAATAAGCACATATATAAGGAATATGTAAAGAAAAAAATAGATCAAAGAGAAAGGAAAAAAGAATAAAGCTAAAGAAATAAAGAAATGACTTCCTCCTTCATCACAAGTATAAACAATTTTAGCAACTTATCATCTTCCCTTAAAATACAGCAAGTGATCTTTTCTTCCTATATCTTATCTATAAACAAGTCCTTTAAAGTCTTGTCTTTCAATCCAGATCAGCAAAAGTTCATTAAGGATTACCAGAGATAATAACACAACTATTTTAATATTAATTAAACAATCAACTTCCTTTTACTTTTAACAATCTCTATCTTTAGTCCTTTCAAAAAGTGTCCTAGAAGTTGATTTCTTATATTTTTTATTTTATCCCTTTTCACAAAATTTTTCAAAACTTTAATAAGTCTTTTGTAAATTCAGTATAGAAAAGTTATTCAGGTGACTCCTTTGATTTATCATGTTTTTAAGAGAATTTAAAATGCATTTTTCCACAGGAAGAATTCCTATAACTAAATTCCAAAATCTTATTTCTAAACTATCCGAACCCTTAGTCAATTTGTAACTTTCCCAAAAAAGTTCCAATTACCCCTTTTTTTGTTTATTCCAAAATACTTAATTCCTAGACTTGTATTTAAAACTCCTTTCTTTAAGGATTGAAGGAAACTTACCCAATGCTATAAAACTTGCTGATCCAAAGATTCCTAATAGCTGAAAAGCAGTTAACAATTTCCAAAAGTGATGAGAAAAGGAACTATGCAAACCCACTATTCTTTTAAAAGCAATGACCAGAGTTTGAGCAAAATTGACTTTCCTCCACCTCCCTAGAGCTCTAAATCAGAGGTCTTCAGACTTGGCCTTTTTATGACTTGTGGACTTCAACTCCCAGAATTACTCAGCCAGGCATGAAGTCTACAAATCATAAAAGGGCCAAGTTTGAAGACCCCTTCTAAACCCCCCAGAGACTGTTGTCTTGGGGCCTTCTCACAAGAAGCAATTATGGGCTATCTCTAGTCCATTCTTTGTCCAGAAAGGAAGTACTAAGAGCTGGTCTACTCCCTGGCTCTTTATTCTGCTACAGTTGTTGCTGAGAATGGATCCAACTTCAGTTCAGCAATTCTTCACTAGAAGTCCCTTGCTTTTAAAAATTGCTAAGAAAAATTCCATTGATATTTTGAGCTTCCATCACCAAATTGGCTCACACTCTCCTTAGAGGAGAGAACTGATCAGATACAAAGGATTCTACAAATTCCCCATGAAGCTTAATCTTGTTTTTCTCTAAAACAGCACTCAGTATGTAAATCACCTAGTTTCCTGTTCTCACTCAGCTCCAGCTTGGGACAGGATGAGGGGCATTAACAGAAGGAGTGCCCCCAAAATGGAGTTGTCTGAGAGAAGGAAACTGTTTTCAACCTTATAGCAATGTGCTTGCATGCAGGCAACTATTCTGTCATTTCAGTGCAAACAGTTCTTGCTTACCAACTGTTTGATTTAGCGACCATTCAAAGTTATATGATAGCGTAAAACAAAACCCCAGTTTTGTGACTAATTCTTACATTTATGACCATCGCAGCATCCTGCAGCTTCATGATTGCCATTGACATAGATTCATAACTGGTTTCCAACAAGCAGAAATAAGCAAGGAGTAAAATCACAAATTGTGATCATGGGATGTCTCACTTAATGATCCTTGCACTTAGCGATGGGCCCAAGGGAACAATAGCCAACAACTTAATAGCCAGCTATCAACACCCCAATCCACACCTAAAAAGCCACCTACAACAGTCACCATCTAAATACTACACACAGAATAGCCCAACGCACACACTCTGCTAGAGAGAAGTTTCCTGAGGATGGGCTCCAGCATGAGTCTGAACCCACGGCTCCCCGTGACTGACCCAGATTGGATCCTGCAACATTATCCTGAGACACATGTATTCGCCTTCATTCGTCTTAGCCAGGGGTCCTCGAAGTTGGCCACTTTAAGCCTGGGGAATTCTGGGAGTTGAAGTCCACAAGTCTTAAAGTGGCCAAGTTTGAGGACCCCTGGTCTTAGCGATAGAGTTGCCAGTCCCAGATATGGTTGCTAAGTGAGGGCTACCTGTAGCCGTTTTTGCCTTTCCACCCTACGCATTCCCTTCCCTTTGCTCATGAGAGGGCTACATGCTGTGGGCTACATGCTGTTCACCCTGCTTCTCTCTGTCTTATTTCCAGAGCTATCCAAATAGCGCTTCCCAAACCCAGCCCTAGTTCGCTAAATTATAAGAACAAGATTTTTCATGGTGTTTTTTTTTAAATACGCAAGCTTCAGGGTAGTTGCATTAAGCCTCCCGTTGCATTAATACAGTATTCTATTTTAAAAGCAAACCTGAAAAAAGAAAAATAAAGGCTTAACAATTCTCCCACTCCTCACCATGTCGCTACCATATTCCACCTAAAATGTCAATCTCATATAGACTGAAAAAAATTTTTTTTAAGAGTGTAATCCCAAAATTGCCAAAAATGTTGTTCCCCCCTCACTTAATACACTTATAACACACATGTACTACCTTAGTCTATCACTCCAGGGTTGTTTCTCCATTCCTGATCTGCTTCCAAGATTCAGGGGGTCAGAAGTAGAGGAAACAACTTGAGATAAATCAGCAGGAGGTAAGTAAGATATAGAAAAGGCTGTCCCCCAACTTTTCCTTGCTTGAGGTGAGTGATATCCTCCCGCTTAGTCAAGACCCCACGTTTCTCCTTCTCCATGATTGTAAAGCTACAGTAAGGAGAAGTGATCCATATACGACTATTTACAGCCCTCGCATGATATGGAAAATGAACTGCCTGTCTCTGGCTAGTGCTAGGGCCAGTCACAGAATGTGAAGGATAAGTGTACGGTGTTTAATTTTCTGACTGAATCTCCCTTAAAGGAAAGTCACCAAGGACACATTCTAAGCCAGCACCCTACCCCTACGTAAAAGAAGGGGAAGACTGCTTCCCCATTGAATGGGGCTGAGAAGAAGGTGAATATATGTGTTTGGTGATTGACGTCATGAAAGGCAACTAGTTGCATCTCATAATCCAAGTAAACCCCTAGTTTCCTGGGCTTCTTCTTCAGAATCAGGGGGATCTTGGGTAGAGTGAGAGCTTTGTATTGGATCCGATCCTTTCCCACTGCCCAGATTCCTTCTTCTGGGACAAGGATGAGCTTTCCCTTCCTCTTCATGGAATTTCTCGCCACTCCCAAGGCCCAGTACCCATCCTCTCCAACTTCTACTTCCCAATAATGCTTTCCGGAGGAAAATCCCTCACTTCCCAGGACGCAGCGCTCCATATTAAATCTTTTAGGACTGTACGGTAGGCTCTGCCACATGAATCCCTGTATGACAGTTCTTTGATCGGCAGACAGGATCAGGTCGTGGTTGGCTGTTTCTGGATCCAGAACTATGTTTGCTGAGAGGAAAAGGAGAAGTGGGAAAAGAGAAAGAAAGGAAAGAGGAAAAGGTTAACCTAAAAGAAAATGCTGCAGTTGCTCCCATTCTTAATTATAACGAGGAAGAGAAATTGATCAGCATGTAGATCTTATTTTGAAACAACTTTTAGTGCTTATCCCAGTGATGGCGAATCTTTTAGAGACCGAGTGCCCAAACGGCAACCCAAAACTCACTTATGTATTGTCAGGTGCCGGGTGGGTGTGGCTCATTGGGTAGGTGTGGCCAATTGGGTGGGTGTGGCCAATTGGGTGAGCGTGGCCCATTGGATGGGCGTGGCTGCGGTGGTAATGGCAGACTGTGGGACTAAAAGGTTCAATCAATCAATTCCAACTTTGCAAGATCTTTTTTTTTCTCGCAAGAAGTTGAAATTGATTGATTGATTGAACTTTTTTTTTTTGCACACGGTGGTGGAGGCCTAATGCAAAAAGGTTTTATAAAACCCAGATGGGGCGATGATGCGTGTGCTCACAGAGAGGGCTCTGTGTGCCATCTGTGGCACACGTGCCATAGGTTCGCCACCACGGGCTTATCCCATTAAAAGACCCATTTCCAAGGCTACACCAAGTCTCCCTTGATCTATTTAGATGAATAGCATTGCATAGTATGAATGACACTTCCCTGGTCTAAATTGTGCAGCAAAACAAGGAGGTAGTATCTTCATGCCTAAACACAATAGGCTTCTATTATTTCATTTGAAATAAAATATACAATATATTTGCTATCTAAGTATATACTAAGTAGGTAAATATGTCGTATTTTATACTTACTATCTAATTTTTTGGAAGTTTTTTTATTGTACTTTTAACCATATGTCGATGAAGATTCTTAGTCATCCAGGTAGAATTATCTGGAAGTTGAGTCATGGAAGCAACATGACCCAACAAGAAGGAAAAAAAAAAGTCCAGCTGCCATATCTCAATTTCCAGACAATTCTACCTGGATGACCGAGAACCTTCACTAACATATTGCCACACACTTTGGGAAAGAAGTAGTGTGGGAATACTCCTAAGAATTTTAGAAGTATTGCAATGACTCTCTGCCTTTTCAGATTCTCCTAACCAATTTGTTCAGGCTGAAGATGCTGCTTGGATACGCAGTGAAACATCTCAAGAGAGAGAGAGAGAAAAGTCCAGTTGCCATGACTCAACTTCCAAACTTTAATATGTTTTCATATTATTTTATGATGTGCTTATAAACTCCCCAAAGTCACCTAGGTGAGCTGAAGGTGTAAACATTGGATAAATAAATAAAATAAATAAAAAGTAAAGTTAAAAAAAATGCAGCTACCTGTTAAGCTTAGAGCTTAAAATTAGCTATTTGCACAATTCACAAAGAGGTCTTTACACAGGGATGATAGGGCTTCTATGGAAGTCCCTTGTGTAAGTCACTGCTGTTAAAAAATGAAATTTCCCCATAGAATTTCTGTAAAGAATGATATCAAAATCTCCACTAATGTGTATTGTGTTTGTCCCCGAAAAATGCAGCTGGGCTTATAGTACTTGATTCCTTTACATGTAAATGCCAGAACTCAACACACGACAACACTTTTGAATTAAAAAAAAAAATCCCTTGGAGTAAAAACCTCATTAAAACTTGATGTAAAAATTCATTTTCAGAGATTAGCACAATAATGATGGAATTTACATTTTGGAGTGATAACAAACAGGACAACCACCAACCTTTTTCTATTGGCATCACCATGTTCCTCCAATCTAAGAACAAGATTAAAGATTAAAATAAATCAAAGGAACAGTTTAATATTGAAAAAATAATTTAAAAAACAACTGTTCAAAGTCACTACAAAGTGGTTTTCTTTCTGCATCATTAGAACATAGCAGGCCCAGGTGCCTTTAAGTTTTAGGGCCTCCTCGATCCAATGTTTTTCTATACAAATTTAAATCATCATCACCAGTGTCATCGTCGTCATCATCTTTTGATTCTGAATGAAGTTGCCCCCAAAAATGATCTGAGGGTTCTCCTGAACTCACAGCTTCTGTTAGAAAAGGAGGTGGCAGCAGTGGCCAAGAGGGCTTTTGCAAACTTCATTTTGTGAATTGTGCATTGCTTCCTAGACTTGGAGGCACTGCTCACTTCACTCATGTCTTGATCATCTCCCAAGTGGATTACTGAAATTAAATGGGGCTGCTTTGAAAGATCATCTAAAAGCTGCAACTAGTCCAGAATGTGCCAATGTGAGCAGTTATGGGCCTACCTCAAGGCATGCATGTTATGCCCTGTATTCTCTACAAGTTCTGCTGGCTCCCAGTGTGCTTCCAAAATGGAATTCAAGATGTGGTTGAATGTTTTCCAAGGAAAAAAATTAAGACAGTCCAGTTGCCTTTTAGAAAAAGCACCTTTGGGACAACCGTGACCCAGAGAATTGAGAATCTCCACAGACACATTGTTGTCACCTATAAAGCCTTCAATGGCATGGGGCTGGATTATTTGTAGGACCTCCATGTCAACGCTGCTAACATTGGATGTTCTTGCTTTGACAAAATATGAAGAGGCAGCCACTCTGTATAAGCTGTGTGGTATTTTTAGAGTTAAATTAGATGATGCTGGGAGGGGAGGAGAAAGAATATGTGTGGGGATTAATTAAGATAAGAAATCATGGAAGGGAAACTTTGCTATTCAGACTGATTGGAGAACATGAATTATGACTGCTAATTAGAGGAGGAAATTATGCTTGAATATTATGTACTCAGGGGAGGGGAATTCAGATCTTGGCATCCACCATGCTGTGCCGACACTTTGTTTCACGATTAAAGACTTTTTAGGATAAACAATGCCTGAAAGTTCTTTGAAGTGTTTCATTAGTCAGAACCTTGACACTCCAGTTGTTTCTCTCAGGTCCTACAGGAGAGATACTGTCCTGGTCCCCACAATTAAAGAATGCCATTTTAAGGAAGTACATCATTTCTGATGTAGTACTTCCCTCTGGAACACCCTATCTCCCAAGATTAAATTAATGCCAACTCTCTCAGCCTTTCAGAAAGCTCCAGGGCTTGGAAGATGGGAAACTACATGTGATATCATTGTTCTTGATGGAGCATTCATTGCATTTCTTTTTGGTAACCATTATAAGTTTTATGTTTCTGCTGTTGCTGTTTCTCCCTCCCCCCCCCCGTTTTTTTAATGTGTTAGCTGCACCTAAGTCATATTTGGGCTATGGGTAGCCATATAGATTAATTTAATAATGATTATTTATATTTAATAATTATCTACTATAATTTATCAAGGAAAGTTGAGAAATTGTCCCGGGAAAGAAGAACAGAGTTTTACTGCCTATAATATTTCTATTTCAGTGTCCACTTAAAAAAATTGTGAATGATTTTGAAAATCTTTTGAAGTATAGTGTTACATTTTTTTAAAATTCACCTAAAGGAGTGATCAATAATAAAATTACATGCTTTGCTCATTGAAATTTAATCCCTTCAGATAACAGGACTAGAACTTTTTTAAGACTCTTATTTGAAACCATGGAAAAGGCTGAATGTCACACCACAGTGACTGAGATAATTGGGCTTGCTTGTTGGTAATTTTCTGAAGTGCACACTTTGTTCCTATCAGCAGATATTTTGCTATGGACTTTTATTTGTCCCGTTCTGTTTTGTTACACAGAGTCACAATTTAACAAAAATATAATTAAACTGATATTCTTCCTTTTCCATGAAAGAGCTGCAACTCAACACAGAATCACCTACAGTATAATACCTATATTATACATTAAGGAATGCTTAATCTCACTGGAGTTGATGTATTGATAACTTCTGTATTAGATTGTGGCCCAAATGTTTTTTCTCAAAAAACAGAAGAAGAAAAAGAAAACCACTTACTCAGTTCAGTGTCCAGCTTTCCTAGAATACAAGAAAACAAAAACAACTTATTACTGTACTGCTCACTGATGCAGAAAACATAAATGTGTGACTTTAACTCCTCCCCTCAGGACCGCACTCTAGCGCATTGCATGCCAAAACAACTACCTTAGATACAAAGACAATTCCCCCCCCCCCCATGACACCACTCTGCTAAATGCCTAATTCCCACAGCACTGTCTTATGCCTAAGGATATTTACCCATATTATCCTTCTCATCTTTCCTATTACCTTCTCCTATTGGTATCTTATAATTTATCACTTTGTTGTTTGTATTTTATGATTTATTATTATATTTTATGATTTATGATTTATCACTTTCTTGTTTGTTATCTATACTGAGAGCTTATACACTGGAAACAATTCTTTGTGTGTCCAATCACACATAGGAATATCCTATCCTATCTTATCCTGTCCTATCCTATCCTATCCTATCCTATCCTATCCTATTCTTTGCCATCATTATTTATAAATAAAGCCAACTGATATTCCCTAAATCTTTGGAGAAATAATAAGGAACAAAATAGCAGCTAAACATAATCATCATTCAATATATAACATAATAGAAAACTAATCAAGAGCTAGCAAAAAACTTTTTCATTCATGTTACACTGTTGATGGATTGATCTTTTGAGTTATTCCTTTAAACCAGTGGCCTTTAAAATATGGTCCGAGGATCCCCTTTGATAATTATTGAAGATATTTGCAGAATTTTAAAACAATGTTTGCTTTTTGTTACAAAATATGTTCTTATTTTAAGAAAATTTTATTAAATTTAAAAGATAAATGGTTAAAATACAAAATTACAACAAAAAAGAAAAATTAGGGGGCAATAGAGAATGTTTAGTATAGGTTTTTCATGAAATATATTTATGTTAGTATGTTGGGTTTAATATTCTTTTTACTTCATTTAATAAATAAATATTCTACAAAGATATACAATTAAAATTTTAATATAGTAAATATTGATAAATATAACCTCTTTTGGAGTCCTCCATAATCTTTACAAGTTCAAAAAGATTCTTTGAGCAAAACGTTTAAGAAGCACTGGTTCAAACAGTAGGTGGACTGGATGACCTATCTGCCACTAGATGGCAACAAGGTATCAAAAGTTTTTTTTTTTTTGCAACTGTTGGCTGCCATCTAGTGGCCAACTATTTTATGCAGCTGAGATAAAGTTGTTGAGGAATAGAAATATAATTAAGGATTGACTGTGAAGATCCCTGTGAGAGTTGTAAACTATCCTAAGAACATAACTGAGGAGAAGAACAAGAACCTTTGTGTGTGCCAAGGCCATTTTGCAATGGCTCCCTTAATATCATTAATATAACGGTTAATATCATCCTGCTTTTGTTTTGTTTTGTTTTGTATTAAGTGCTGTATGCCACTCAGTTTCACTTTCATGTAAGAGGGGTGACTACACAAATATGATAAATGCGTAAATAAAATTGCCTGCTAGGCAGGCTACAAAAGTACAAAACTGAGTCTTTCCTATTACATTTTTAGTTCTACACATTCAGCCTAAAATGGGCTAATCAATTTCAAGACTTGAAGAACCAGTTAACCAACCTGTTGAGAAACAGTAGATATAGAAGCCAAAATTCAGTTAACCTTGCAGCCAAAAGTGGAGTGAGGAGTGGGTGAAGGAGTGAGGGACAGATTGAAGGGGCCAGTCGCACAGGAACCAGAAGAATTATGAGGCTGCCAGCATAGGATACATCATTTCAGGTCATCTCCCTGAATATGCCTTCTGGAGCAGAGTACCTACACCAGGGGTAGGCAACCTTGGCTCTTTTATGACTTGTGGACTTCAACTCCCAGAATTCCTGAGCCAGCATGGCTCAACTTGGAAACCTCTCCCTTTCTCCTCAGCATGGCTGGCTCAGGAATTCTGGGAGTTGAAGTCCACAAGTCATAAAAGAACCAAGGTTGCCTACCCCTGACCTACACCATCCTTAGTGGCAGATGAATGCTAAGGTTCAAGCAAAGACATAAAAAGAATAATGTGCCATGTTTGCATGGAGGCAAGAAAATTAGTGGATTTACTCTTAAAAGGCATACTAGCCAGGAAGTCAAAAGAGAAATGTAGTGTTCCAATCTATTAAGAAACTGTCATAACACTCTTCCCAATGTATGACGTACATGTGTATGCGCAAGTATGTTCCATCTAGGGGGGAGGGGTGTTGTGTCCTGAGCCTGCAGAAGCAGGCTCGGGACGTTGCATTGGTCCTGGGCATTCCAAAAGCTGTCCGGGACCAGACCAAGCAGCGCCAGCCTTGTGCGCATGCGCAAGGCGCGAAAATGCTCTGTTCACATTGGCTGACATTGTCTGGGTTTCTGGCCATATAAAAAGGCCTGCGTGCCTTTTGTTTGTGTTCGTGTGTTGTTAGGAGAAGAATAAAGAGCTGTTTAACATCGCCATGTGTCTTCATCATTCACACGCGAACAAAATACTTAACACCAACCAAGCATGATTACTGTAACTGTAGGGCTAACTGACAATTAACTGAGCAACAGCCTACTTTTATGCTGGTAAAAGGACAATTTCCTATGTACTCACTGTATTTGTTCAGTAGGTAAAAAATAAATATAGAAAATCCAACCACAGCCATTAGGGAAAAACATAGAGCTACTATCCAGGATGATATTTTGGGGAAGAGGTGATCTGAAAAAAATGAAAGAAATAGAGATGAATCCATTTTAAAGCAACCTTGAAATATTGGGAAATGCTCTGCTTTTGTCTTTCTTATCCTTTCTGCTATGATTCATGTTTCAGGAACATACGCCTTAACCTGTACCATACACCCCATAATCCAAACCAAGGCTTTTCAACCAGTGGCATGGGTACCACCTGTGGTACATTTGCACGTGGCAGGAGGTATGCAACCATCCTAGAAAAGTGGTAGCGGGGGAGGGGAATGAGCTGAACCAGTGGCAGTACTGCACAAGCCTGAGCGAGAAATGGCTAGAGCTGCAGGGTTATCAGGGTTCAGCGGAAGCACAGGATCAGCACTTCTTCGGGACTGTCAGGGCTCAATGGAAGTGCCAGGATCAATGCCACTTTCCAGGTGATCGGTGCTTCTTCAGAGCTGTCAGGGCTCAGTGGAAGCGCCAGGATCAGCACCAGGTTCCAGCTGGAACTCTGTGCTGATCCTGGTGCTTCTGCTGAATCTGAAGAAGCACCAATCAGCTGGAATGTTGCAGCATCTCCAGGGTCTTGTGATTTACATTCAGATGCTTGGCAACTGATTCATATTAAATGAGGATCACAGTGTCCCAGGGTCATGTGAAGTGACCAAAACCTGCTGCAACCACCCAGCAGACAGGGGGAGTAAAAACCAAACACCCCCCACCCCACCCCCACTGCCAATCCTCAACAAAAATGCTCACAACAATGAAAACCTCAGACAGGAGGAAGAACGCTGACGGGTGGGCAGGCAGGTGTCTTGCTCGGCTGTGGCTTGGGGGGCATTTTTTTCAGTGCCATTGTAACTTCAAACAGTCACTAAGCAAACTGTTATAAGTCGAGGACTATCTGTACTTCATCACTTTTTTTCTTTCCTTTTTTTTTGGTCAAGTTTTTGACACCCTGCTAGGCGACTGGTGGTACTTGGATACTGCCATATCCTAAAAGTGGTACAATGGGTGAAAAGGTTGAAAAGCCATGATCCAAACTATGCCCACTGATTCAGATAAATACATGTTCCTTAAATCTTCCCCATTTTTCTTCTTCTCAAGATTAAAAGAAAAAGAAAAGAATGCAAAGATATATGCTACATGCACTCATTTGAGAGTTTCTTCTTGAAAGGATGTCTTGTATAACTCTTCATTGACTCTGAGTTTGCCCTAAACAAGACATGGGCACCACCTGCAAATCTATCCAATTTTGAATCTCAGACTCATACGATTACAAAGCCCAATCTCTAAAACAGAGATCAGCTATGAACAGTTTTTGTCGACTCACTTGTTATGTGGATGGTTGATTCTTTTTCCAGGTCGAGGAGGCTGTTTCTGATGACACAGGTCAAATTTGAACTTCCTTTTAGAACGATGTCGGCTTGTACATCGAATGTCCCATCATTTCTTTGTGAATCTTTTTTTGCCAACGAAGACAGAAGCCTCCCATTGAGCTCTCTCCAAAGGACCTCGGGCTTTGGATACCAGCCACTGGAACGACAAACCACTCGGATCCCTCCGTCCTGATAACCTTCAATGGAAAGGAGAGGACCAGGCCCTAATGCTAGATGTGGGACAAATATGCACATTTTAAGCGTTTTCAGGCTGTTCCAAAGATGGGCATCCAGCAGAACCAGGGAAATCTGCAACCCTAAAACCCCTACGCTGACATTCTGGCTTCAATTGCTGGAAAAAACTGAGGAATGCCTTCCTGCCATTGTGAGATGAAAACACACAAATCCTATAACGTAAGCCAGTGGTGGCGAACCTATGGCTCAGGTGCCAGAGGCAGCACGCAGAGCCCTCTCTGTGGGCACGCACGCTGTCACCCCAGTCCTAGGCCTTCAGCTGGGTTTTATAAAACCTTTTTGATTTAGGCCTTTGCCGGCCATGTGCAAAAAAAAAAAAAAATTCAATCAGTCAATTTCAACTTCTCCCGGAAAAAAAAAAGATCTTGCAAAGTTGGAATTGATTGAACTTTTTAGTCTCACCCAGTCTACCGTTACCACTGCAGTCACACCCACCCAATGGGTCACGCCCACCCGGCACTCAACGATGCATAAGTGGGGTTTGGGTTGCAGTTTGGACACTCAGTCTCTAAAAGGTTCGCCATCACTGACGTAAGCAATAAAATATTTTTTTTTTAAGAATTCTTCAAAAAAGGAGGGAAGAAACTTGAGAAAACTTAAAACCTCGTTTGTATCCATGTGATGAGGCGTTATTCACTTTGAGTTTTTAATCCCATTTGTTCTATCCTTCAGCCCCAGGCCAAATATTAAATCAGGTTCTTGGCCCCCATAAGTTACCCTCTTCTAGTCTGTTCAAAGAGTTAATGGAATCAGTTCAAAGAAAATAGCAGCAAGGGATAAAAGAAAATACCAACACTGAGGGATAAAAGAATATTTGTTTTTTTTAAAAAAAAAATACTGTAGAATCAGAAGATTGTCCAGTCTAATCTTCACCCTGTAATTATTTAGATTTTTTTTAATCATCACCCCCATCTCCCTCCTCATTCCCAATCCATGAATAAAATCTATATTCTGCAATAGAAAGTTGGCATACTGCATAACAAGAGTCTATGGGTGTCAGATGAGGCATAAAGGGAAACCATACACTAGAACTATTATTCTGGGGAACTGTTTATGTCTGGGTTATGATGAGTATTGATAACTTCCCAATTTGTCTGCCTCTGTTTGTTTTTTACCTCTTAAGGCAAAGAAGGGTGATTTTTTTCCTCCTCCTCCTGTCAAAACGATCCTACCCTTTCCTTCCAACATAAGATGAATGGTGGATTGAATCAGTTCCAGACACTGCTATGATAAGAACATGAAATGAAACCTTCCAAGTCTGGTAAAACTTCCAGCAGTAGCATTTCAGATATTTCTAGTAAGCCTACAAACAGAGCATGCAGTCAATAGTACAGTATATCTAAATTCTTCTCATCATTCACTGTTAGAAGCATATTGCACCTGAATGTCCCAGTCAGGTATCACAGGTGTACAGCCAAACATCAGTGGGGTTGCATACCTTTAAAGGACCAGATTCCAGGCTGTGAATGGGCATAAATATTCAGGACGGCACTTACAGTAATTGAAGAAGCTCAAGGAGTGATAAGTTATCAAAAGTAGCTGCCTGGATTGACTTTATAGCAGGTGGAGGAAACCTCAACCCTCAACAATGAAGCTGTAGGAGATGACCAGGCTGAGAAAGAGGGAGGGGTCAAATGTGTCATCAGTCTTGAGTCAATTTGTGCCCACTAGAGATCTAAGTCCAGCCCACCTTGAATTCCTCTGACTCTTATCTACCGCCTATTTGCTTCAATTGTTAGTAGTTCAGATTCTTACAGAGAACATAACCTTGCAATAAACCTTTATATTCATTTGAACTGCTGATTTCCACACTTCACAGCATCCCAGACCTGTATATGTCCCAAATCTAAAATTGGTAGCAAAATGGCAATTTTTGGTGCCATGATTTAGCCCCCCTCCCCTTTCCCCCTCAAGCATCTGGAAAATTCAGTTGTTTTGGGCTTGCTTTTTTATTATATGCTGACATTGAAAAAGGAAAAGCTAAGTGTTTCATCAACCATATTTTCTGACCCCCATTTCAAAGAAGTGAAATAGAAATAAATGGCCAGTGGAAGAAAAATGATTATCCACCTTGACATTACGGTAACTCTTATTACTTCTAAACATCAATCAAAACTGAATAAGAAGATAGAAAGATTTTGGGAGAAGAAACCTTAATAGCTCTGATTTTCTCACAATCTAAGAACATGTTGGAAGGCTGATGACTGCAGAGGTTTTAGAGCCAACTTCAATGACACATTTCTATTGAAAAAGATTTGCTCCTTACTTACCAGTCACTTTCATATCTAATGTGGCTTCCTGTTGGAAACTCCCATTCTTAATAGAGCAGTGGTAGTGTCCCTCATCAAACAGGCTAATATTAAAAATTTTCAGCCCAATCTTTCCATCCCCAATGCCATCTTTTAAAAATTCTGTTCTTCCTTGATATTCCAGCTGCTGCTGTTCCAGATGATCTTTGCCACTGTGATAAAGGTGTATATATGAAGAATTTTGGGAGCGGAACCAAGCAATCTCCATATTCTGGACATTTGTTCTGGGTGACAGATGACAGTGAAGCACAATAGTCTCCCTCAGAGAGGCAGTGACTGGGTGACGTGGTCCAAGCAATGTCAGCTGCACTGTGAAATGTACCAAGTGCATAATAATTACAAATGGCCAAATCGACTGAAGGAGTAACAACATATAGATAGCTCATCTACAACCTCAAAACATGTCAGGCAATTGATGTTTGCCTGAAATAGTAACCCTCCATTTGAATACTGTTGGGTTGGGTTTCTGTTGGGTAATCATTCAACTAAAAAAAAAAAAATGGGGATGTGGTTGGGATAGCTCATAATGCAATATTTGCTTTGCACATATGAAAAACCAAATGGAATATTTAGCATTTCCAGAAAGGCTGAATGCCAATCGCCATAGATAATGATCACTGTAGTATATTTCCATATACACATAATTCCTCCAGAATTGAGCAGGAGCACAGCACGATGCACATTCAATAGTAATAGTAAGAACTGGAGAAGGGTATGTGACGCCTAACCCTATCAACGGATTTGCAAAAGAACTCAGTACCAAACTACATGGACCAAGGGTCTAGTTTTGCATGTTCGTTTCCTGTGTCAATTTCTAACTTCTCTGTTAGCAGGTCATCCATCCTTGTATTGATCAGCCTTCCCTCTTTCATTAGACTGATATTAATACAACCCCCAATAAACATATAATGGGATTTGTTACCCATGTTGATTCATTATATTGCTTCTATATTTTCATAATATTATATTTATTTATTTATTTCTTATATATGGCACCCATCTTTGCCATCTTTCATTCAGGAACTCAAGGAAGCAAAGCTATTATATCTTCAGCCCATTTGAGCCCCCCGTGGTTAAAGATAGACTGGAATCTGGGTGTCTCCAATGCCACTCCAACACTTTAACTATTACACCACACAGTTTCTTTGTTTTAATGTGAGGTTTAAGGAGCACATTATGTTTAATCTCTCTCTCTCTCTCTCTCTCTCTCTCTCTCTCTCTCTCTCTCTCTCTCTCTCTCCCTCTCCCTCTCCCTCTCCCTCTCCCTCTCTCTCCCTCCCTCCCTCTCTCCCTCCTTCTCTCTCTCCCCCTCTCTCTGTGTGTGTGTGTTTGTGTGTGTGTGAGATGCTTCTTAATACATAACACATAAAAGCAATTATATTTCTTAGAAAGTACAGTAACACACAAGGTTCTTACTTGGATTGCCATTGATAATAGGTAGAACAACTAAGAAAGTGATAAACAGGAAAGAACTCATTTTGGAAACACAACTGAAGGTTTTCATTTCCCTTGTTTTCTTGTTCTGGTGTTCAAGACAGGTAAAAAACTGATAGAAGAGAAGTGAAAAAGAAATATTGTTAGTATTGTATTTTGTTAGTATGATTTTGTTTTTCTTTATATGTATCCATAGCATTGCCTGACTCGGAATGCTGGTAAAGGGTTTTTAATGGCTGATCTAGGCACAGGTTGCTGGATAATGTGAATTTTCAATTCAATTTATTAGTGGAAATGTTACGATACTTAGTTATGGTTTGGGATCGCAACAGGCTAGCATACAATCTTTTCCTCCTCGTTGTCAGAAAATAGTTTCAATGAAAGAGTGCCTGTGGAACTTCCTGCCAGATAAAAAATTAAAAAGTGTAAAGCTAGATAGAAACATTAAGCAATTGTTACTCTTTTTCAGGCAGACTATAAGCTTAGCTATTCAACTTTTGAAAAATGGCCATAAATACCTCAATGCATTAGGACTGAAGTCTGACAACCAGTGAGACAAAATATTCTCACGTGGAAGACAAACTGAACCCAACGAATACATGCACATGTTAAAATAATTGCAGATACACATTTAATATTCCAAAATCAACAGTTGTAGTCATTACTCTTACCTTATTGATGGGCAGTCCTTGGATCACGTCCAACTTGCATTTTCTCAGAACAAAAGTAAACTGCACAAGTTTCCCCCTTACCGGGTTTTTTTTTTCCTCCATTGACAATCAGCAATAGAAAGATAAGAGGAAGGGGAGGTGATCCAAATACTCTTTTGCACAGGCAGATGCCAACCAGTCCACGCTTGCCTTGAAGGGGGTCTTGGGGATGGTGGAGCAAAGAGGGAGGAACTTGTTTTTAAAGATCTCATTTGTCAAAATCTCCTTGTTAAGCTTCTTCTCTTGTGCTCCTCATCGCATTATCAGTAGACAGCAGAAGGCACAACAAAATGGGAAAGAGGCCAAGTTTTAAACCAACGTCATCTTCAGCTAATCACCAACAGGCAGTCCAGCCATAATGTTTACAGATGTTGCAGCAGCATCAACAGTGAGATAGTTATAGAGATCTGTAGTGTGGGGAGGTGATGATTATGAGGTTGCCTAGGTTTGTGTGTGTGTGTGTGTGTTTGCAAAAGGAACCAAATTACTTCTCAATTGAAAGCACTCGATGTAAGCAACTACCTAAGCATGAAGTAATATAGGGAGGGTACCATATGTTCAGGCGGTTGCTTATATTATTTGTCTGGGAGCAACTTTTTTACTAGTGACCAAGCATCAAGCTGGAGATCTTTACTATCCAAAGTAGGGACTCTTTCATCAAACCATAGTCCTGTCCCGTCCTTCTGAAAAGGCTAAAAGAACCACATAATTGTTCTTCTCTAATGAAGCCCATTGCTATTTCTGGAGAAAGGATTGCATGACAGTGCGTTGTTCCAATTTATTCTCAAGTTAGCCCTCTGAGAAAACCAAATGTTATTGGCTCAAAATCTCTCTGCATTTCCTACTTAAGCCAAAATTTCAATCTTGGGCCAAATCCAACACTGGCTGCCCCTGTTAATTTCCATAATCCACGATCTACCTTCCCTTTCTGGCTGCCCTCAGCTTCAATCTTTTGTTTGCTGGTTTCATTTGCTTTACAAACGATTTTTCAACATGGAAAATGGCTGTGAGTAATTTCCAGTTTAGTTTGCTCCCAATATACTCCCAGTGAGGATCTATATGTCGCAAACAAGCCATACTCAATATTATAACTTAATGTCTCTTTTTAAAACATCAACCAAATCAAAACATTAACTGGTGAACGAGGGATAAGGAATAGACAAAAGCAGGGGAGAGAGACATGGACAACAGGGGGCCGGATGTACTTCCCGGCTCGATTTGAATGTGAGATGTGGCCTGCCGGGAGGGGGGGATGGTGGGAGGGAGACCTGTGGGGTGGGTGGGGAGTTTTCGGGGGTGGAGGTGGGCCAGAACATCCCGGTTATCGTAGGGAGAGGTAGATATGGCGGGAGCCAAGGAGTGGGCCATCTTCAGGGAACAAGGACTCGCTGCATTAGAGCGATTACCTGTTCCGACCCCTTGGACTCTTCTCCAATACCTGGAGAGGGGGGTGTTCAGGACCCTGGCCTCAGGTTGCTGCTTCTTAATGCCAGGTCGATTATTAATAAAGCCCCCCTCATCCGGGATTTGATACTGGATGAGGAGGCCGACCTGGCATGTATTACTGAGACCTGGCTGGGCCAAGAGTGAGGTGTTCCTCTCTCAGAGATGTGCCCAGACGGGTTTCAGATAATGCACCAACCACGACTCCAGGGAAGGGGTGGGGGAGTGGCGATTCTTGTCCGAGAATCCCTGAGACCTCGCAGGATCCCAGCCCCAGAGGTTGTTGGGTGTGAGTCCCTTCTCTTGAGGTTGGATTCAAGGGTTCAGTCGGGTTTGTTGTTGACATACCTGCCTCCCAGCTATGTGACAACAGCCCTGCCTGAGCTGCTGGAGGGGGTAGCCGGGTTGGCGGTGGAATTGCCCAGGCTTATGGTGCTGGGGGATTTCAATTTGCCGTCACTCGGCGAATCCTCTGGTGTGGCTCAGGAGTTCATGGCTTCCATGACAACCATGGACCTGACCCAGATAATTCAGGGTCCGACCCATAGGGGAGGACACATGCTCGACTTGGTATTCCTCTCGGGGCAGTGGAGACGTGATTTCGATTTAAGGGATATAGTCACTTCTCCCTTGTCATGGTCGGATCACTTCCTGTTGAGGTTAGATTTCTCGGTCCTACTCCCCCACCGCAGGGAGGCGGAACCGATTAGGTGGTTCCGCCCCAGGCGTTTAATGGACCCGGAGGGGTTCCAAATAGCGCTTGGGGGTTTTCCTGATTCCCTCCTCCACGAACCGGCTGAGTCCTTGGTCGCTGCTTGGAATAAGGCGGCGTCAGGGGCATTAGACCTGATCGTGCCTTTGCAACCTCTCCGTGATTGTGGATCCCGGAGGGCACCTTGGTTTACCGAGGAGCTACGGGAGATGAAGCGTCAGAAGAGACATCTAGAGTGACGCTGGAGGGCTAGTAACTCCGAATCCGACCGGACACTTCTAAGAGCCTATATTAGGACTTATTTAGTGGCGATACAAGCGGCAAAATGTTCGCATTTTTCCGCACTTATTGCGTCTGCAGAATCTCGCCCCGCCGCCCTGTTTAGGGTGACCTGTTCCCTACTTAACGTTCAGGAAGCTGGGGAGCCCTTACAGGGTAGAGCGGAGGAATTTGTGCAATTCTTATCAGACAAAATCGCTCGGATTTGGACGGACCTAGACTCCGATTGGGCAGGGCCTTTTGAGATGACTGGGGCAGGTCTTAGCTCAGTTTTATGGGATGAATTTAAGTCTGTGACCGCCGAGGATGTTGACAGAGTGGTGGGAGCAATGAGTGCCTCCACTTGTTTATTGGACCTGTGTCCTTCCTGGTTGGTCTCGACTGCCAAGGAGGTGACACGAAGCTGGCTCCAGGTGTTGATCAACGTTTCGTTGAGGGAGGGGTCTTTTCAACAATCCCTGAAGGAGGCGGTTGTGAGGCCCCTGCTCAAGAAGCCTACCCTGGACCCGGCTGATTTAAATAACTTCCATCCAGTCTCCAATCTCCCCTTTGTGGGGAAGGTTGTAGAGAGAGTGGTGGCGCTCCAGCTCCGACGGTCTCTGGATGAAGCAGATTATCTAGACCCTTTTCAATCTGGCTTCAGGCCCGGCTTCAGCACAGAAACTGCTTTGGTCGCGCTGATGGATGATCTCTGGCGGGCCCGAGACAGAGGTTATTCCTCTGTCTTGCTGCTACTTGACCTCTCAACGGCTTTTGATACCATCGATCATGGTATCCTTTTGTGACGACTCGAAGGGGTGGGAGTGGGAGGCACCATTTTACAGTGATTCTCCTCCTACCTCTCTGGCCGGTCGCAATCGGTATTGGTGGGAGGGCAGAGGTCAACCCCGAGGCCCCTTGAATGCGGCGTGCCACAGGGGTCGGTCCTCTCTCCCCTCCTATTTAACATTTATATGAAGCCGCTGGGTGAGATCATCAGACAGCACGGGGTGAGGTTTCATCAGTATGCTGATGATACCCAGTTATATATCTCCTCCCCGAGCTCTCTCAGTGAAGCGGCCAATGTGATGGGCCGTTGCCTCGAAGCCGTGAGGGTCTGGATGGGGGTTAACAGACTCAGGCTCAATCCTGACAAGACCGAGTGGCTTTGGATGTTGCCTCCCAAGGATCATGTCGACTGTCCAGTGTTGACTCTTGCGGGGGAAAATATACCCCCTTCGGAGCGGGTTCGCAACTTGGGTGTCCTCCTTGATCCACAGCTGAATTTGGAACATCAATTGACGGCTGTGGCTGGGAGGACCTTTGCACAAATTCGCCTGTTGCACCAGTTGCGACCCTACCTGGACCGGGAGGCTCTCCTTACAGTCACTCATGCCCTTGTCACCTCACGTTTGGACTACTGCAACGCGCTCTACATGGGGCTACCCTTGAAAAGTATTCGGAGACTACAGTTGGTCCAGAATGCAGCCACGCGAGTGATAGTGGATGCTCCTCGATACACCCATGTTACACCTATCCTCCGTGAGCTGCACTGGTTGCCTATTGGTCTCCGGGTCCAATTCAAGGTGTTGGTCATTACCTTTAAAGCCCTATATGGCTCAGGGCCAGGCTATTTGCGAGACCGCCTACTACCTCATAGTTCCCTATGTCTGGTTAGATCCCACAGGCTGGGCCTCCTTCAGGCCCCATCGGCCAAGCAGTGCCATTTGGCAGGGCTGCAGAGGACGGCCTTCTCTGTGATGGCGCCCACGCTTTGGAATCAGCTCCCCCCGGAGATTAGGACCACTCCCACCCTGTTGGTCTTCCGTAAGCTACTTAAGACCTGGCTTTTCCGGCAGGCCTGGGGTTTATAAAACCTTACCCCTGGATGATTGTTTTTGTATTGTTGTTTTGTTATGTTTTATGTGTTTTTTATTGTTAGCTGCCCAGAGTCCTTCGTGAGTGGGGCGGCTTATAAATTTTAAAAATAAATAAATACATAAACAGGCAGAAATTTATATTATCAACATGTCTATTAAAAGGACAAAGAATTTTCCAGAGTCACTGGAAACAATACAGTAGGCAATTATCATGCCACAGCAGTGTTTCTCAGTCTTGGAAACTAAGATGTGTGGACGTCAGTTCCCAGAATTCTCCAGCCAGCAGGAGTGTGTCAAGGGCCCTGGGAATGAGTGTCTAATGGTCGGCAGTATCAGAGGACCATAAAGGCAATCAATACCTGGGCAATCCCAGTCATTAGGTACACAGCTGGAATAGTGGACTGGACTCAAGCAGAACTAAAAGCAATGGATAGGCAGACCAGACTTAACAATTGTCGATAAGAAAGACAAAAAAGTCTGGATAGTGGACGTGGCAGTGCCTGGAGATAGCAGAATAGAAGAGAAAGAACTGGAGAAGATAACAAAATACAAAGACCTACAAATAGAAATAGAAAGACTGTGGCAAAAGCAAGCAAGGGTAGTACCAATAGTCATAGGCTCCTTGGGTGCAATCCCAAAACAACTGGAGCACCACTTGAACACCATTGGCATTGACAAATTCGCTATTAGTCAATTGCAAAAGGCAGCCTTATTAGGAACTGCTTCCATCCTGCGACGATATCTGTAATACCATCAAACATCCACATCTGCCTATCCCAGGTCCTGGGTAAGGACTCGATAGGTAGACAAAATGCCAAATCCAGTCTGAACATCTGGCTGACTGTGCGATGATCGATAATAGTAATAATAATAATAATAATAATAATAATAATAAGTCAAGAAAAAGATTAGAGGTGAATACATCAAGAGAGTGAAGAAGATGTTAAAATCCAAACT